TCTTGCCTCCTTTGTCATAGATTGCTTGACCGATAGGTGTGGGTTTATTTCATGGCTCTCTATTCTATTCCATTGATCTATGTGTCTGTTTTTATGTCAGTATCATGCTTTTTTTAAAAATTGAATTTATTGGGGTGACATTGGTTAATAGAATCATCTAAGTTTCAGATATACAATTCTACATACAGTACATCATCTGTATATTGCATTTGTATTTACCACTCCAAATCAAGTCTTCTTCCATCACCAATTATCCCCTCTTTACTCTCTTCTACCTCCTGCATTTCCTCTTCCTTCTAGCAATCACCATGCTATTGTCTGTGTCCATGAGTCTTTCTTCTTTTTCTTTGTTTAAGTCCTTCACCTTTTCACCCAGCTTCCAACCCCCTCCTCTCTGACACCTACTATGTTCTTTTGATTGCTATACATAGTCCTGTAGTATTGTTTGTTATCAGATAGCATGATACTTTCTGAACTATTCTTCATTCTGACAATTGCTTTGACTAGTCAGGGCCTTTTGTGGTTCCATATAAGTTTGAGTACTATTTTTAGTTCTGTGAAAAATGTCAATGGTAGTTTGGTAGGGATTGCTTTGAATCTATAGATTGATTTCAATACTATGGACATTTTGAAAGATTGCATTGAATCTATAGGTTGAATTGATAGTATGGACAATTAACAGGGGTAATTATAACTATACATTAGCATGGTATATGCTTCTATTTATTTGTATCTTCTTCAATTTCTTTCTTTAATTGCTTATAATTTTCTGGGTACAGATCTTTTATTTCTTTAATTCAATTGATTCCTAGGTTTTTGGTGTGTTTTTTAAAAATGAAATTTTAAATGAGATTGCTTTCTTAATTTCCCTTTCTGATGGTCCATTACTGGTATATAATAATGCAACCAAACCCTGGCCTTGCGGCTCAGTCAATTGGAGCATCGTCCGAGGTCCATCCCTAGTTCGGGCAGGTATGCAAGTGCCGGGAGCAGGTCCATCCTTGCTGTTTCAAGGGACCTGGCATATATGGCATACTG